TTGGGGGTCTGGGCTAGGGGAGGGGTCTGAGGACCGCGGGAGGGGCGGGGGGCGGCCGGTGGGGACGCCTCCCCCCCATCCCGGGGCTGACCCCTTGCGCGCTCTAGGGGTCTGGACCCGCGGGGATGGGGGGTGGGGGGGCGCCTCGGGCTTGGGCTTCTTGGACCGCGGGTGCGCCGGGGTCGGAAGGTGCCAAGTCTCCACCGTGGGGCCGGGTCCGCTTATGCCTCAGACTAGGCGGCGGGTCTCTGAGCCACCTACTGTGTGCTTCGGCCCTGTGTGTCCCCTGGAAGTGGCCGCTGACGCGGGAGGGAATGGCTGTGCGCTCCCTGCGACGGGGACCCGAACCCCCACCCCCGCCTTTCTGCTGAGTAACCCTTGCTGCGGGTCTCTTCTGTCTCGCCCCGTCTCCAAAAAGACCCTGAGAGCGAGGAATGTCCCCTCCCTTACTATCACCTTCACTCCTGCATCCGTCCCCCACACACTAACCTGAAGCTTGAGAGGCACCATGAGCCACCCTTGTGGGTCCCTGGCAGGACCTATAGTCGCTGCCGCCCTCCCAGAGCAGCAGGCGGAGGGGGCAAAAATAACGACTGTGAGCTGCTTTTCCTGGAGAAGAGACTCAGGTCCAGGCCGCCTTGCCTTTTCCTCTCTGAGCCTCAGTATTTGTGCACTGAGGCATTTACACACCTACTGGACTAGACGTGGACTGGTGCTTTGTGTCAAGCATGGGGGGGGGGTCCCTGAAGGAAGTAGTGTCCAAGCCTCTCCCAGCCCCTCATTGCTTCCCCCCAGAGGCTTCTGGAAACCCTGAGCCATGGTGCTTCTTTGACAGCAGCTTGGGTGGGCAGAGACGCCCTGGGACTGACATTTCTGAGGAGCAGCTTGAGCCACTGATGCCCTACCCAGCTGCCGCATCCACCCACGACCTCCCCTGCCCCACTGGCACCCCATGTCCTTGGGGGTTGGACTGGAGGGGTTGGGGTGGTCCTGGGAAGCTATTAGGCCAGGGGCAGTAGGCAGGTCCTTGCCCAGCAGTACAATCAAGTTCTGCCTACCTTCCCTCTCTCCGTGCTTCACCTGTCCCGATGCCCCACCTGTTCCTACTCCCAGCCATAATGCTAACACTGAGCAATGCATAGATGGGAGAACAGTCAGAGGACTTGTCTCAAGACCTCATCCCTCCTCAGAGAAGGAGACTCCCTGAGCCTTCCTGTCCCGTGTCCCCCCACCCCCCGCTCCAGGAGTCTGTTCACTCTTCTGGCTCTTGCACACACAGACCTCCAGGCAAGGACCACGTCTTTTAGATCGGAACTTGCAGCTCATGGCACTGGCCTGGGCAGGGTTGTTCTGCAGTTGGCATTTGATGAATGAACAATGAAGAAGCTGGCTGAGACTTTAGACCTCAGCCCAGGAGTGGCTTCCCCAGGAAGACTTGCCTTCGGATAATAATCATAAGCACCACTATTTATTGAGCACTCGTATTTGCTAAAGGCTGGACTTGCACTGTCTCCTCTCAACCCCACTAAGAGGTGAGCCCATTAGAAGGGAGACAGGTGAGGTTGGCTCTGGTGCCCACAGCCCAAACCAGCTCTTTTCCTTACTGTCCTCTGTCTTAGAGGCCTGCAGGCTGCTTGCCGAGTCTCCACCCCCCAGCTGTACTGCTGCAATCAGGCAGGATGCTCACCATCTTAAACGCATGCCCTGCACATAGTAGGCCCCTGAAAATGTTTATTTGTGTGCATGAATGAATGAGTGAGTGGAGAGATGGAGAGCAGAGGGTGGGAAGGGCCTTCTCCCCACTGGGGACTCAGCCCTCTGAAAACAGTCTGATGAGAACAGCGTGGAGCAGGACCCAGGCCAGAGTCAGGGCAGTCTAGCCCATGCTCAGCGTGCATAGTCTTGGAGCCACAACTGGAGTCACTCTGGGCACCAGCCCTTCCCTGGGGTGGGGATGGAGGCCAGAGAGCATCTGACTCAGGTCCAACCCTGGTTCTGGAGCTCCCACAACCCTGGTTCTGAAGTCCCTGAGCTGAGCCTCAATGATCTTAACCCACTCCCCAGAAGAGATGGGCGTCCTGGGATCTAAAAGTGTGGAGGTCAAGGTTTTAGTATACACTTTAACCTCTATCAAGGGGCCTTTCTATAGGACAGAATTCCTTTACATTTTGAGAACTTCCCCCGAAATGAACCCTCATCAGTTTTAGAGATTCTTCTCATCTCCCCAAAAGTCTATGTCTTGTGGTGGGGGGGGAGGGGGGAGGGAGCAGATGGGGACCCCCTCACGTAGGGCGCCGGCACCGCCCCGGCACACCCGGTGAGTGACAGATGCAAATATTCCGTCGGGGCCCCAGCAAGCCACTCTCTCCCTCCCTCGCTTGCTCCCTTCCCGGCCAGCTCGCTCCTTCCTTTATCTTATCAAAGCCCCGTAATTACAATTGCTATTTTGTTTCCTCGAATCTGCAATCAGAGCTCCCCAGCCCTGATGAGGGAGCGCCTGTCAACCTGATCGCTGAGTGACAGCCCGGCCACCTTTCCCGGCCGCCCCCACACTCCGCAAACACACGCACGCACACACACACACCCACACCCTCACCCTCGCCCTCGCCTCCTGCAAACACAAACACACACTCCTCGCCAACACAAACAGCCCCTCTCCGCAAACACGCCCTCGCAGGGACCCAAACACACACCTTCAGCCTCTTTCCGAACGCATCCCTCGCGCCCGGCCCACCCTGGGCCCCTCACATCCACACCAGCCGGCGCGGGGCCGCCCGGACTGCCGAGAGCTCCCCTGCGCGCCTCCGGCGCCTGGCGTTCAAAGCGCCGCCGACTCTCCACCGACTGTTCAAATGCAAATCGCCGAGACTACGTTAAGCACTTGGGGCCGCTGCCTGGGAGTCGTCTCCCTCGCCCCCCGAATACAGGCCTGCCCGTCCTCCAGCAGTCTGCAAACCCCGGCGGACGCCTTCATCCCTCAGTGCTCCCGGCCAAAGCGAATTGGCAGTGCTCCTACTGTGCGCTGAGCCGACAGAACGGGGCACCGAGAGGCGGGGCGGAGAGGGAGAAAAAACAGTTCCCAGCTCCGTCGGCCGGGCGCCTCTTCGGGCCGGGAAAGTCCTGCAAGAAGGGGAAGATGTGGATTGGGCCCCTACTGCGGGCAGGAGCGCGCTCGGCGCCTGCCTGGGTCGCGGGGAGAGCCACCCAGCAAACAGTCAAGGCTTACAATGAGCGCTCAGCGGCTTCGCAGGGGGTAAATGTCCGAGCTGGGCCACGCACAGGGCGTAGATGGGTGGGTTGGGGAGGCTTCCCCCAGAGATGGCTTTTCGCTGCACTCAGCCAGTCTCCCGCGCCCCCAACCAAGCACGTGCCGAGGCCTCTGGAGGTTATGGGTGAGAGGAAGAAGAGAAGGGCTCTAACAAGAGCTCTTCTAGCGAACGAATCAATCAATCAATCAAAGAACCAATACAGTCAGCCTCAGTGACTTACTCCTCGCTTTCTGCCTAAACTTCGGCACCCCAGGCCACTCACGGGCGAGATCACTCACGTAGCCCCCCTGCAAGGCGGCGTGGGGAGCCCACGGCCAAAGGCGGTTTCAATCTCGCCCACCAGAGGGCGCTAGCTGCAATTCCCCCTCCCTCGGGACCCCTGCCACAGGAAGGTGAATGGTCTGGAGCCTGGTGGGCCCACCACGCTCGTTCCCGATGGAAGCACTTCAGCAAAGCCCTCCTGGAGAGGAGAAAGGGGCCTGCGACCCCGATCACTGCAACACAGGGAGATATCACCTTCCTTTATCCTCAACTTGAGAGAAAAGGGAAGTTAGAGCTTCTCACCACGGGGAGGGGGGAACCTACTCCAGGGATGTGTGTTGAAGTGGGAATGCTTTTCCGTGTTGTGGGACACTCCCCAAAGTTTACCTTACCTGCCCCAATACCAGCCTCTTCGGGTTACCTAGGGACCCCTCCCACTTGTTCACTCATTTGCCCAGCAGACAGTGTGGGAGAGAGTGGGCCTGGCCCTACCACCCCACACCCCACCAGGCACTGTACTTTGTCCATCCTCAGCATGTCTGGCCCCAGGCTGTCTCAGGAGTTAACCTCTTGTTTGTTTGTTTGTATGTGGGACACTGAAATACGCGCCCCCCACCCCACATCAACACAGCTGCTGAACTGCTGACCCCAGAGTTGGTCACATACACACGAATGCTCACACCAGGTACTTCCCTTTCTCTTCCTGGCTTAGGAGCAGTCAAACCTCAGAACATCTGATTACGGGCACCAGAGACCCCCAGACCAGGCAATGTGCTGGGAATCAGGAACCCCTTAGCCCAGGAGGCTGAATCCCAGGAGCCCCTCTCTGCCCCCATATGCCAGGCCACCCGGATTCTGGTTTCCCTGTCACCCAATCTGGCCAGCCCCCTCCATCTGGCCCCCGGAATCAGGTTTCTAAGGGCCCAGACCCGCTCAGAGACAGCCCGTAAGACTGGAAGGAGGAGTAAAGACTGGCTTCTGCCCTACCCCTCACAGGCCCTCTCAGGGCCTGAGCCCCTTCGTGGATCTAGGGATGCACATTCCTTGGACTGCTTAAGCCCCCTTATCTGCCCCCCTGCCCATCAGCCTGAGTGCTGACAGAGGCCCAAGCCCCTTGTTTGGATGCTGATAACCTCCTGGGATGGCCCTCCCCCACCTGTAGGGACTGGGAATGGGCTTGGTGTTGGGAGGTTCTCTTTTAGCAAGGCAGTTGGGGCCCAGGCCTGGCCTGCCCCCGGGGTCCTAGGGATAGCAGGATCCCACATTTCTTCACCCTCCCCAGGCCCAGGGCCACCCTCGATGCTGCCACAGTGCCACCTGGTGGTCCCTAGGGGAATGCCACACCAGCAGGTAAAGAAGCCACACAAATGAGTTGCAAAAAACTCCACATCACTTTATTTCAACCTTTATCCAAAAATGTAAAAAGTATTAAAAATGTGCAGTCCTGAGCTTCAGATGCTGATCTCCAATCTCATAGGCAAGTGGGGAGAGAGGGTGAGGACAGAAGTTCAGAGTTCCTCCCAATCCTGGAGAAAAGGGAAGTCCCAGGTAGGGCGTAAGATTAGAAAAATACCAGGGCTCTATGAGGGATAGGACCACCCTCTCTCCTAGCACCAGCCC